TTATATATAAACCACAGCCGGGCACAAAAAAAGACAAAGCACATGAAAATGAAGAAAACATTTTAATACCCCAAAAACAGAAACCGTTAGAGGGAAATTTCACAAGGTGCATGAATCGTTCTTCCTCGACAAATAGCTTCAAGATTTTCTCCCGCATATGAGCACAATGGTGGAACCACATCAATCTCTCAATTTCATTTTGGCTTTGTTCATTGCAAATTGGAAGGAGCAAACAAGAATATGTACAATAGATGTCTTACAAGAACTTTTGAATAAACATTAGTTTGCTCCCAAGTAATGTGTAACACAATTACCAGAAACAATGCTAACCATAAAGAAAAAAAAAAAAAAAAGAGCTTAAGCTAACAGAGTAATAAAACTCACACGAAACCTGTAAATGAGAAGTGTCACACTCATCACAAACAAAATAGAGAGAATTATATAAAGACAATTTCAGGCATGGCTCTGACTTGAATAAAATATTAATGTTAACATAGAGAGAATACAACTTGTTTCAAATAGAGAGCTGGCTTGAGGAGCAAGAGAAGCAATCACGTTCATGTATATTATTAATCATCATCTAAAGGACACAAAGCATCAAATTTGTTTATGCTCTGAAACAATCCTAAGTTCCTAAGATCAAATAAGCTTGACATGAGTTGCTTTGCATTGTTAACACTAAGATCCTCGACATGGTCTACAAAGGCATAAAGTTTACCAAAATGCTTAAACTCTTCAAGGTTACCTTCAACACCTTGGAAGTTAACACATTGTAAAGTGTTCCTCTCGGGACTGAAGTAGCAAACATTATAAGGCTTAGATCCTAAGCTCTCTGACAAAACAATTTCACATGTAGTAGTCATCCCAACAATGAAAAGACGATTGCGGTATCCATTCTTCGGAAAAGGGTAGACATATTGCGACCATTCCTGTTTCTCGACATCCTCTAGAACCCACATACATAACTTACGGATATGCCTTCCACTTTTCCACTCACTACCATTTTTATACTTCAACCTAACCCCACATACTTTCCCCTTATAGTTTATCAATTTAATTCCATACTGATCACCAAAGCATTTTGCATCAATAAGTTTGAATTTCTCAGTCCTAACATCAAAACAAACTATCGCATAAGACTTTCTATTAGTTTGTTGAGCTAAGTAATATAAAAACCCATTGATGCATATCCCTTCACGCGCAGGATAATGGGCTAAGGGACATTGGATATTCCTCCACCTCATTTTTCCAGCTCCTAATGTCAGAATATGATGAACCGTTTCATTATTAACTACAGTGTGGATGAGCAATACCTTGAATTGCTTCTCAATCGGATCAAACCCGAAAAAGCTGATCGGCTCTCTCTTCGTCGTCAGTTTGGGTGAGATCGGTTTAGGTAAGATGGCATACTGTCCTGTGATAGGGTTACATATCACAGGCACGGAATCCTCACCCTTATTTTTTGAAATCCACACATCTGGAAAATAGAACAAACCATAGGCATAGCTACATTTAGTTGGGCTTCTAGGGAACTTGATATGAAAATCGACCGCTACTACAGTAGACTTCTCATATGGATTCTGAGGGTGAGGTGACGAGTAGAAGAACCATTCACCACTGTTGTATCGTTCAAGAGCAAATAATAGACGTGGACGAGTCAAAGACTTGGTCAGGAACAACTCGGTGAATTCTTGACGGCCAAGTATGGATGACCATAGCTTTGACACGCAACGACATCTCCCGACTGACTTTGTAGGCAATCTTGAGAAGATCTCGAAAAAGAGATCAATTGGGATGGAATCTACAGTTTTTACTCTCTTCATGATCGTTGTATTTTTTTTTTTTTTGATCGGACGGAGAGACTCCGTTATATAGAGTCCGGAACCTAGGGCATTTATTGGTTTGGTTTACTCGGTTTGATTTCGGTTTAAATGCATAAAACCGATCAGCATCCTTTTGTCATATTGCGGCTCGTAATCGTACACACATAACAAATTGACAATTTTCTGATGAATGTTTATAATCTCTTCGGTACATTTCTATCCTACCTAATAACTGTTAGGATATTACCATATCCTCTGCATCTTCTAGAATGTCTTGTGTATCAAGCTGTATCAACTTGTGTATCAAGTTGAATCTTGTAGAATATAGAAACTATACTTTGTATAAATACCTCTCTTGTGATTAATAGAAAATCATCCTTTCACAAATCTTACAATAACTTCTCAAAAATCCTGTCTTAAGTAAAATTTGAGATCCAATTTCAAGTATGTAGTCACGTTACTCTTCACTAATCCATAAATTTCCGCCATTACGATATATTTGATGTTTAAGGCTTTCGAGCATATAAAGAGTTCGCTAGTAATGTAGTTTTTTTTTTGTTAATTATAAATTATCTAAAATTAGTTTTATAGTTGGATAACAAAAAATTGAGACCTCTCTTCAAATTATACCTTCAAGATTTAAAAACCAATAGAAAATTTTATTAGATATGTTACAATATGGATACAAAACGCCAAGACCTCTTTGACTCTCTCTTTCTCTCTCTTTCTCTCTCCCATGGGAAGAAAATAAGTTTTATATAAACCTCAGCCGGGAAAAAAAAACAAAGCACATGAAAATGAAGAAAACATTTTAATACCCCCAAAACAGAAACCATTAGAAGGAAATTTCACAAGGTGCATGAATCGTTCTTCCTCGACACATAGCTTCAAGAATTTCTCCCGCGGACGAGCACAATGGTGGAACCACATCAAGTTCTCAATTTCATTTTGGCTTGGTTCATTGCAAATTGGAAGGAGCAAACAAGAATACGTACTCTAGATGTCTTACATTTGTTTGTTCCCAAGTAAGGTGTAACATAATTACCAGAACAAAATGCTAACCAGAAGGGAAAAAATATGCTTAAGCCAACAGAGTTCAAAAAAAACATAAAACTCAAAAGGAAATCTGTAAATGAGAAGTGTCACACTCACAGGCAAGATAGAGAGAATTATATAACGACAATTTCAGCTATGGCTCTGACTTGAATAAAAACTTAATTTATTTTCTTAAGAACTTATAAGATAACTTGATGTTTACAGAGACAGAATACAACTTGTATCAAATAGAGAGCTTTTTTAGCTGACTTGAGCAAGGGAAGCAATCACGTTTAGACTCTTGTATATTATTCACCATCTAAACGACACAAAGCATCAAATTTGTTAATACTCTCAAACTTACTACGATCTTGCTCTTGAACATATATGCTTGACTTGAGTTGCTTTGCATTGTTAACACTAAGATCATCTACATGGTCTACAAAGGCATTAATTCTACCACAATTAACTCCAAGACCATGGAAGTTAACACATTGGAAAGTTTTCCTCTCGGGACTGAAGTAGAAAAAATAAGAGTTAGACCAGTTCTGCTGCAAAACAATTTCACCTGTAGTACTCATCCCAACAACAGAAAGATGTTTGCAGTTTTCATTCTTCGGAAAAGGGTAGACATATTTGGACCACTCCTGTTTCTCGACTTCCTCTAGAACCCACATAGTCAACTTAAGGACAAATATGCAATCATCATCATACTTCAACTTAATCACACATAATTTACCCTTATAGTTTATCAATGCATCAGAAAAGCATGTTGCGTCAATAATCTTATATTTCTCAGACCTAACATCAAAGCAAACTATCTTATATGGCTTTTCATTAGTTGGGTAATACAAAACCCCATTGATGCATATCCCTTTATGCCAAGTATTATGGTTAGTCTTATGGGTATATGGACATTGGATCTTCCTCCACTTCATTTTTCCAGTTCCTAGTGTCAAAATACGATGACCCTTTTCATTATTAACTATAGTGTTCATGTGTAATACCTTGAATTGCTTGTCGATTGGATCAAACCCAAAAAAGCTACTCGGCTTTGCGTCCGTTCTTAGTCTAGGTAAGATCGCATACTGTCCTGTGATAGGGTTACAGATCACAGGCACTGGATCCTCACCCTTATTTTTTGAGATCTGCACATCAGGAAAATAGAGCAAACCAGAGGCATAGAAACAATCACTTTGGCTTCTAGGGAACTTGGTGTGAAAATCGGTCGCTACTACAGTAGACTTCTCATATGGATTCTGAGGGTGAGGTGACGAGTAGAAGAGCCATTCATCGTTGTTTCCTTGGATGGCGAATAAGAGACTTGGACGTGTCGAGGACTTGGTCAGGAACAACTCGATGAAATCTTGACGGACAAGTATTGACGCCCATTGCTTCGAAACGCAACGACATCTCCCGACTGACTTTGTAGGCAATCTCGAGAAGATCTCAAGAAAGAGATCAATTGGGATGGAATCTAAATTTTTTTCTCTATCCATGATCGTTGTATTTTTTTTAATTGATCGGACGGAGAGAGTCCAATATATAGAGTTCGGAGCCTAGGGCATTGATTGGTTTGGTTTAATCAGTTTGATTTCGGTTTAAAGGCATAAAACCGATCAGCATTCTTTTGTCATATCGCGGGTCGTACTCGTACACAAATAACAAATTGACAATCTTCTGATGAATGTTTATAATCTCTTAGGTACATTTCTAACCTACTGTACCTAGTAACTTCTCAGAAATCTTAACTCCATGTCTTTAAGTAAAATTTGGGATCCAATTTCAAGTAAGTCATGTTGCTCTTCACTAATATCATACATTTCCGCCATTAAGATATATGCCATGTGATGTTTAAGGCTTTCGAGCATATAAAGAGTTCGCAAGTAGTTTTTTTTATATGGGTTCAATCATATAAATCATCTAAACTCACTCCTCTTAAGTGAGACATCTCCAAAACTACACCTAAAAGATTCAAAAACCAACTGAAAATTTTATTAGATATGTTACAATAAAACGCCAAGACCTCTTTGACTCTCTCTTTCTCTCTTTCACGGGAAAATGATAATAAGTTTATATATAAACCACAGCCGTAAAAAACAAAATTAAAAAGCAAAAAAAAAAAAAAACAAAGCACATGAAAACAAAGAAAACATTTTAATACCCCAAAACAAAAACAAAAAACCATTAGAGGGATATTTCACAAGGTGCATGAAACGTTCTTCCTCGACAAATAGCTTCAAGATTTTCTCCGGCGTATGAGCACAAAGGTGAAACCTCTACACCTAAAATTTATTCGATTTTGCATTTAAGAAAAATATATTCATATAGGAGAAAAGTATAATAAATAAATACACGGTAATGAGAAGATTTGTTTTGAGAGTTACCAGTTGCATATAAAGGCACAGAATGTGTTAGAAATCCACCAGCTGCTATAACCCAACGTGTGTGTAGCCTTAGAACCAAAAGCCTCGCACTTTCCGGTGTATCGAAATTCGACCCGTTCACGTTCTTTACTGGTGCAAACTCCTCTTCCCTTAATACCTACACATTGCTCCATCCAATGTCTCAGGTTTCAATAATATTTGGTTCTTTTAGTTAGTGTTTTGTGTAAATGAATTAATACTAACCTCAAAGAGTGCGGTTGAAGGAGCATATGGAAACGAATCGAAAATAAATTGTTCGAGTTTTAGTCCCATTGTGTATCCATTCATAGATGGTATCTTCTTCTCCGCCAAATGGTAGCTGCCAGAAACAACAATTTAGTAACATTTTGATAGCGGGATTCGATTGTATTTGTAGAGAGCTTACACGCTGTCTTTTTCTAGGCCGGTCGCGACTTGATTAAGGAAATCTAAAGTAAACATGTGTAAGCACACCTAAGAAAGATGTAAAACACAATTTTGGATTAGTAGAGAAAATTCATAAGAATAAGAAGGAGAAGAGAAAAGGATTTTACGTTACTCCAGCAATATTGAAGACGGCCTGTTCGTTGATTAATAGCAGAAGCCATAGACTGATCAAGTTCACTATACTCAACTACTGTCAACGGTCCGCCTTTGCCTCTTCTAACAAATACTCCTACCTGTTCTTGAGGATATGCCTATTTTTTTCCATACAGAAATATAAAGAAGATGTAGTTTTAATTAATCTTCAAAATCTTTCTAAACCAGTGAGTTTGTATGGTAGATACCTTCCGCACAACTTTCGCAGCCGAAGCAGCCCCTTTGTCGATAAAGTATCCAAGAAATGTAGGATCAGCTACTCGAACCTGTTTTTCAAGATTCCATATTATAACCAAGACAACGTTGAGAAAAAACAAGCACATGTTAAACACTCAATATTATACTAGAAGGCTAACCAGGACATTGTCAACGCCATATCAATCGACATATTTAATTCCCCTAGAAGCCATATCCTCTAGTAACCTTGAACACTTTAGTGCTGTAAAAATCTCAGATCCGAATTAGCAAACGATTTTGAGAAAAACATATGTATAATAGTAAAGAACAGAATCAAAATTAGTAAACATACCTGCATAGACTCCCCCGTTACCATCTGGAGCTTTAGCTAGCTGGTAATTAAACTCATTAAATGAGTACTGAAGATAAAAGTGAGAACTTGTCATTATATAATTGTACATACACTGAAAGGTGTCTCCATGATAAACTTTCCATCCTTTGTAACGCAAGGCAATGTACCTTGTTGGAAAAAAACTGATCTGTAGTAACAAGTGATCAAGATTGGTCTAAGACACGAAGGAAACAGCATCAAGGAATGTTCATACAAATAAGAAGCATCTTACTTGATCTGGTTCAAGACCAAAGTACTTATGACTCGAGAAATATTTTCGTGTCGCTTCATCAGTAAATGGACTAGTCATAATATACCAATGTATTGTAACTGGACGAATTGGACCTGAACGTAAGATATTATGCGGAAAAGAGTGTCATATATGATGTAAAGTTACACCTATCCGTTGGAATGTAGAAGAAGCCATGAGTCTAACTCACCTTCACTCACTACTTGAGCAGCAAGTCTTTGAACACACAAGATTCTCTCTGCTTGAATCTGAAAGAGCGATTTCCCTGATGGTAGTCCGATATCTAAGATGGAAATAAGTCAATACTCAATAACTACTTTGTTAACAATCATGGGTTCAAGCAATACAACCTAAGGTCCTAAGCCTAGAGAGTAACAAAGAATCAAAGTAATCTTATTACTCTAAGCAAATGATGCATTAGATTCGTTAAATTTGTATATCGAAAGAACGAAACGCGAGCAGACTCTATGACACATCTCACAAGTCCAATCTAAGGTCCATTTCTAAACAGTTGTTCTGAATGTGACTATAGAGAAGATTAAACAAAACAGAGGAAACCACATAAGTACTCACTGAAACATCCTTTTGGATCTGAGCTTCCAAGCCTTGTTCCCTGCATTAGTTTCAACAACCAAACCATGTTCATTATCAAATCACTTGAGGAATGTTGCAAAAACATAACTGGAATATATAAAAGATATTCTCAAGTTATGAAACTAAGTAATCATCAAGCAACATCCTATAAAGCATCTTTCAGATCACGTGATCATCATCATCCTTATAATTAAGCAGAAGGTTCCTCCTAGAAATCACAATTACTCAAAAACAATAAAATGCACCACCGACAGTGATTTGTCTGAAATTAATCATGATTATTGTTTGCCAAAATAATTAAACCCTTTTAATAACCCTACTTATCCATACTTATCCTTGCTTGAGAAATGCATACTCGTGAAATAGAGTAGACCAGAGGTATATCTACAACTTTCGTAGCTTGAGTCTCTACCGAACTTCATATGAAAATCGGCGGCTACAACAATAGAAGAGTTATCATCAGGGGCGGAGGGAATGCACAGTTATAGGGGTCAATTGACCCTGGTGGATTTTAAAAAAATAGCTGAATTTTTATTAACGATATTAAATTGACCCTAGTCCACTAGAAGTATTGACCCCTGTAAAATTTTATCTTAACAAAACTACAATACAATATTTAAGCCCAATAATTATGTTGTGCTTATATATAATATCAAGCCCAAGAAGATTTATTTTAAGTAAATATATTATAACTAAGCCCATTATAAACTACCCTAATATTTTCACATATCTCCGTAGGTAGTTTTAAAACGTTTTAGCTTCTTCTTCCTTGTTTTTTTCTTTTCATTCCTAGATCATGAATTCGTGACTTCGTGGGATATTAGAATCAGGCAATCAGCAAACACTTAAGATTGAGATTCCAGGTACTTTTATATTATTTTTTGTATATTAAATTTCATTACTAGTTTCAATCTAATATTTAAAGGATTTGTGTAAGTGTGTTTGATTTGAGTTTGTTACTAATTTTTGCCGATTGTTTAGTAAATTAGTGCTAGTAGCCTCTTACTCTTTTAGTCTCGTACATGTAAAGAATCATATAGTGATTTTGTTTAATAAGAAAAAGCTTTTATGAATCATGAGTTAGACCAGTGACTATGTATGAAGAGCGTAACTTTCAACAATTGATTATTTTATTTCTGTTTCATCAATACGGTACAAATTCTATACACAACTTTATAATTTAATCAATGTGTGAGTTATGTATTAATGTGTTTGTGTATATATATAATATTATTTGACTTTACAATCACCAAAGAATCACATGAATGTAACAGAGAGTAGAAAGATTTTATCCGTTTGATATAAATTTCTTACTCAATTTTTGTATGTAGGTAACGACAAAAGAATGAATTTGATGGATCGTTTTGTGAAAAGAAAACCTCCACCGTCTGATATTGACTTGGATGATTTGCCATGGGATCCCGCTGAAAGGAAAAGTATTCTAAGCTATCATCCTAATCAAAGAGATGAAGTACGACGCAAATATTTGATTAGAGGACCTTTTCAACCTCGCGGTCACAATTTTAAGCAAACACGGATTGGAGGAGTCTTACGACGTTTTAATCTAAAATGGTTTGATAAGTATGATTGGGTGGAATATAGTGTGGAGAAAGAAAAAGCTTTTTGCTTGTGTTGTTACTTGTTCAGAGATCAAGCTCAAAATCAAGGTGGAAGTGATAGCTTTTTAACAACTGGTTTTTGTGGTTGGAATAAGGGGTTGGATCAACATGTGGGAACTGATGTGAATAGTTTTCACAATAATGCCAAAAGGAAATGTGATTATTTGATGAGACAAGGTCAGTCTATCAAACATGCTCTCCATAAGCAAAGCGATGTTGTGAAGAATGATTACCGAATCCGATTGAATGCTTCCATTGATGTTTCTAGGCACTTGTTACATCAAGGATTACCATTCCGTGGTCATGATGAGTCTGATGAGTCAGCAAATAGAGGTAATTTCTTAGAGCTTTTGAAATATACAGCTGTTCAGAATGAGGGTGTAAGAAAAGTTGTATTGAATAATGCTCCAAAAAATAATCAGATGACATCTCCTCCAATTCAAAAGGACATTGTGAATTGCTTTGCAGAAGAGGTAATTAAGTCTATTATTGAAGAAATTGATAATGATGTCTTTGGTTTGCTCGTAGATGAATCTGCTGATGTATCAGATAAAGAGCAACTGGCAGTGGTTTTTCGCTTTGTTGATAAGTATGGGATAGTCAAAGAAAGATTTGTTGGCATTATTCATGTGAAGGATACATCTTCTTTATCTCTGAAGTATGCTATTGATTCTTTGTTTGCTAAATATGGTTTGAGTTTGAAGAAGGTGAGAGGACAAGGATATGATGGAGCTAGTAATATGAAGGGAGAATTCAATGGACTACGGTCATTGATTTTGAAAGAAAGTAGCTCTGCATATTATGTTCATTGCTTTGCTCATCAACTTCAATTAGTTGTCATGGCAGTTGCAAAAAAGCATTTTGAAGTTGGAGAATTTTTTGATATGATTTCTCTTTTGTTGAATGTGGTTGGAGCTTCTTGCAAGCGAAAGGATATGATCCGAGAAGCCTATCGACAAAAAGTGGAAGAAGGGATTAGCAATGGTGAAATTAAGACTGGAAGTGGGCTGAATCAAGAAATTTCCCTTCAAAGACCTGGAAATACTCGTTGGGGTTCACATTATAAGACTTTGCTGCGACTTGTTGAGCTGTTTTTTCCTGTAGTTAAAGTTCTCGAGTATATCCAAGATGAAGGCGTAGACTCCACCAAAAGACAACAAGCTTATGGTATTCTCAAGTACTTTCACACCTTTGACTTTGTCTTCTATCTGCAGTTGATGTTGTTTGTTTTGGGTCTCACTGATAACCTATCAAAAGCTTTACAAAGGAAAGACCAAGATATCTTGAATGCAATTTCATTGGTAGAATCCACTAAAAGTCAATTGCAAAAGCTTAGAGATGATGGATGAGATGCTTTTATGGCTGAAGTTAGTTCTTTTTGTGAGCAAAATGACATTGGAATGCTCATAATGGAGGAAGAATTTGTTGATCCAAGAAGACCAAGGAAAAGAACCGGCATAACCAACATGCATCACTATAAGGTGGATTGTTTCTACTCTGTCTTAGATATGCAACTTCAAGAGTTTAATGATCGTTTTGATGAGGTGAATTCTGAACTACTTGTTTGCACATCATCCTTGAGTCCGATTGATTCATTTCGTCAGTTTGATAAGTCATTGCTCAAGAGATTGGCTGAGTTTTATCCAGAGGACTTTGATTTTATGGAGCGTAAATCTCTTGATCATCATCTTGACATCTACCTTGATAATGTGCAAAAAGATGAAAGGTTTACAGCTTTAAAGAGTCTTAGTGATCTTGCTCGTGTGATGGTAGAGACAAGAAAACATCTTTCACATCCTTTGGTATATCGGCTTTTGAAGCTATCTTTGGTTCTTCCTGTTGCGACTGCAACCGTCGAAAGATGTTTCTCCGCGATGACTTTCGTGAAGACGACTTTGCGTAACCGCATTGGTGATGTATTTTTAAGTGATTGTCTTATTTGTTTTATCGAAAAACAGGTACTTGACACTATTACAAACGAATCGGTGATAAAACGATTCCAAAACATGAGTGAACGTCGAGTGCATCTTTAGATTTGTATTTGTGATGACATTTTTATTGTTTTAAACTTTTAATTAAATTTATGCTTTTTTAGTTAAAAAAAATTTTGACCCCGATGAATAGATTTTCTGGCTCCGCCACTGGTTATCATATGGGTTCTGAGGCTGAGGACACGAGAAAAAAAACTCGTCACCGTCTTGGTAGATCCTGATTAAGAGACGTGGACGAGCCGAGGACCTGGTCAAGAACAACTCGGTGAAATATGGCTTGGCAAGCATGGAACCCCATAGCTTTGACACGCAGCGAAACCTCCCGGTTGACTTTGCAGGTAATCTGGAGAGTATCTCAAGAATGAGATCATTAGGGATGGAATCTGAGTATCCTCCTCTGTTCATTGTCGTTGTACATTTGCTTGACGGAGAGAAATCACAAACGGCAGAGACTCTTGAATTTATATGTGGAAAAATCTCGTGAAGTTCAAAGTTGATTAGAACATGGGCTTTAACCATGGGCTTTAACCATCTAAAGATATATGAATTTTAATTTTTTAAAGTATGATCGAAAAATATTTCAAAGGAATATCGATTTTTTCCAGATGATTTGTCTTTAGAATGGCTTCTTGTTGTTTCTTTCCTGCCAAGCAACATCACCAATTCGTCAATGAGGAGTATCTGCTAGGTTTAGCAACAATAATATATTGTTATGATCATTGATGGTGAAAATAACTACATCTGTATGTGTCTAATTGAAGAAAATGAACCATAAAAATTGTTTAAGTTGTCACTTACATAGTTACATGACGCTAATTATGGAGCTACCCATTTAAGAAGGAACTCAAAACTGGAAGCAAAGGGTAAATTTAGCTTTGATGCAGATGCGGATGCTGAATTAACTGCATAGATATTAGAATGAGACTCTCTCTTTTCTTTTTTAATTTTTTTAACGGTAACACCATATGCATATCTAATGATGTTAAAGAAGTCTATGAAGAACTGTTGGGGACATTGAGTAAGAGCATTCAAAGAAGAGATGCGAATGAGATTCTTCATCATTGAGGCAAAGAGGAAAAATATGGGAAAACGGCATATTCCTCCCCAAACTAAGTTGCTTTGGCTAATTCATCCCTGAAACATTGTCTCGTGCTTAAACCCACATGAACTAACATAGAGTTTGAATTTCCTCCCTGAATAAAACAAATCCGGACTAAACCCACAAATTGTTAAACGCCGTTATTGTTCCGTTAACGAACTTCTGACTAGGATACCACATCATCGATCTAAGCGACTGTGTTTTGAGGAGAAAACGGCTTATTCCCCCGTAAACTAAGTTGTTTTGGCTAATTCATCCATGTAATTTTATCTCATGCCTAAACCCACATGAACTAACATAAAGTTTGAATTTCCTACATGTACAAAACAAATCTGGACTAAATTGATGGATGAAGAA